GTGCTGGGATGACAGGCGTGCACCACTACGCCTGGTGAGAAGCCCACCTGACTCCTCTTTCCTTCCCAAACTCATCAGGAGACATATAGGGATTAAACAGCACTTAGACAACCATTGGGACCGAGAAATCACAAGGGAAGTTAGGAAATTCTCTGAGCCCAAGAAGCGAAAATGCAACTGAACCTTAAGTACCTGGTCCCAGTGACCAGGACATCTCCAGGGAGAAAGAGGAAAGATCTCAAAACCAGACCTAATTGGACCCAGAGGGAACCAGAAAAGGGCAGGCCACTGAAACTCAGACACTGAAAGGAAGGAAATAGTAAAGATGAGAAGGGAGATAAGATGAAATGTAGAATAAAAAAACAAGAATCCAAGAAACCAAAAGCTGGTTCTTTGAAAAGCTTCATAATCTTTAGCTAGGCTGATTAAAAAACCCCAAAAGATAAGTCACAAAAACCTAAAGTCGGAGATGAGAAGGAAACATTATATGGACTTTTCAGAAATTAAAAGGGTTATAACAGAATGCTACGAACAACTTTACCAAACAAATTCCAAACTCAGCAGCTGACATGAAATAGACAGCAAGTTCCTAGAAATACACAAATTACTAAATTATAGACTTAGATGCCAGGTGTTAGGCTGTGTGCTTTCCCACCCCGTTTTTTTTTTTTTTTTTTGGTACCAGGGATGGAACTCAAGATCTTGCACTTTTGAGGCTGGTGAGGTGCCACTGAGCTAAATCCCTGGCCACTGCTTACATATATAAGGTTTCTCCACACTGTGATTTCTTTTTTTTTTTTTTTTTTTGGTACCAGGGATGGAACTCAAGATCTTGCACTTTTGAGGCTGGTGAGGTGCCACTGAGCTAAATCCCTGGCCCCTCCTTGGTTTTTTGAGACAGGGTCTCGCTGTGTAATCCAAGCTGGCCTTGAACTCACTATGAACCCAGGCTGGCATGGAACTCATGGTGATCCTCCTGCCTCAGCCTTCCGAGTGCTAGGATTATAGGCACACTGGTTCAACATTTAAAAATTTTTATTGCCTGGTTTCATCTTTGCGACATTCTTGCCAGGTGGAGAGCATTATGTTCATGATGGAAGGTGACAGAGATTCCTCCCAAAAGTGGTGGAGCTGGTACACAGGCTGGGGTTCCAACTCTGGGAGCCCAGAGCTCATTTTTGGGGACACAACCTCCCCATGTGTCACGAGCACCTGAAACACCATGGTGTGGGGTGGGGCGTGGCTCTGTGGTGAGCTCCTACCTAGCTGTGCAAGGCCCTGCGCTCTATCCCCAGCACCAGGAAAATAAAATAAGTGGCTTGTTTTTTCTTTCCTTTCCCCATTTTTTCTATAAAACAAAGGAAGGCAAGCTTGTGGAAGAAAATACAAATGCAACATACCTTTATTTGTTTTCCCAGGAAGCACTGTGTTAGGTCCTATTGTTAAAAAAAGAGAGGGAGAAAATCAGTATTACTACTGGGACAGAGACCTAGCTCCAGCTGCCCTCCAACATGTGGGGAATGTGGGATAATCAGCTTTATTCTTTTTTATAGTGTTAAGTGAACCCAGGGCCTTCACACTGAGCTACATTTATATTTTTATATTTTTAAATTCTCAAATAGGGTTTTCTAAGTTGCCCAAGACTGGCTTCAAACTTGCGATGTCTGTGCCTCAGCCACACCGGGTGCTGGGATGACAGG